GACTTACTTTCTCTTTTTTGGTTTTGCATTCTCCAAATTAGAAACCCCCTGTAAAATAAAATAAAATAAAATAAAATAAAATAAAATAAAATAAATAATATAAGACAAAACTGTACCAACAGATCCGAAAGAGAATTCATTCATTTTCTACTATAATCCAAATGCAGTTCGTTTTGCCTCTTCCCTAGTAAAAAGACTGATATGTTCCCTGTTGTATTTTAGTAATGTGTCACAGAAGTTTGGCTCAAATTTTCACTTTTTTTTCCTTTCGTCTTTGTAACTTTGAGAAAGATAGGATGTTTCCTTTATTAACTAGGGCTTATACGTTATTTTAAGCTATTGCCAGTTTAAAAAAGCCCTTGCCAGTTTAAAAAAACAACAACAGATCTTTTAAATTAAAACACCCAATTAAATCCTCATTATCTAAACCTTCTGTCCCTCCATCAATCCACCAAAACCAAGGAGACAGATACATACCACGGTGTGTTAGTTATATCGTAGAGTGCCTTCATTTGAGAAGGATGGAAAGCAGCTTATCACAATACCCTGAGGGTGTTGAAATATATCTGTGATTCATCTGACCTTTTTCTTCAGACCCAGTGACAGTTGTGTAAAATCCCTTACACTTTGGGGAAAGAATTTATCACATTTTTCGCCATCCTTGAAAGAGTTTAAACTGCCCTAGGCACCTTTAAAAGCCCTTCAGATTCTCTCTTTTTTATTCATCTACTCCTCCATTTAAAAAACATTTACTGAATACCTGCATGAAAGGTAACCAATTGTGTTCTGGAGAGGCTCATTTGTTTGGCATGGCAGGAATTTACATACTAAAGAAAATCGCAACCAATATTCCACTTCTGAGAGGAAAAAACACAAAGGCTAAGGCTAAGAGGAATGGTGAATGTAAACCGAAAAAAGGAAGTTTGATTTGATTATTCCAGTGTTAATAGTACCAGCCTGAGCACAGTGAAATCTAAGATAACCTTTCCCCAAGATAGTGATTGAAGGGGCCATTTATCTAATCTTTATTTTGTTTGTATCAAGATTTTTAACTGCAGAGGACAATTTGGATATCTTATTTTCCTAGCGGTTGAGCAGAGCGTTACTAAAATCCCACGTGCTGAAACAGTCAGTCCCTGAACTTGAGGAGCACACATTACCAAGTTTGAAATACTTGTGCATAACCCACAGGACATTGCTTGTAGGGAAGAGGTGGCAGATGGGGCTTGTAGGTAAGGATGTGGGAGTCATGAATTACACCCTAATGTGAGTTAGGATATCAACAGGCTTTTGAGGAGTTAATGGTCAGGTGGACCACTTCTTCCATTCTCTATGCTTTGTCATCCTGTGCCCTAGAAGTACACAATCTCTATTCAAGGTCTTTTTTTGAAATTGTTTAGGTCTTGGGCCAGATCTCTCCAAACCTCAGATTAGAAGCTAATGGTGTTCCTTGCCCCGCAATCAGTAGCCACACACATTTAACAAGCTTTGTGACAATCGTGAGGAAAGAGGACAGCCACCCATCTTTGTAGTAGTGCTTTTCTGTTATATATATTTGGAACTTACTAGGAAAGAACAAGCAAGCTCCATGCTCCACAGTCTATGCAATCAGGACCAAATATGTCCTAATAGTCAAAATCCATCATCCTGAGTCTCATTAGTTTGTCATATGGGTTTAGATAAATCTCTTGGGGTTATGAATGTTGCCCTCTTCAAAACAGAGTGTACCTTTTGTGAGAATAGACAAGATTTGCAATAAGGAATATGGGAAACATTCGATACCTTTTAATTTTTAATTATTCAAGTCACAGTATTTTGGAATCAACTTATATCAGCATTCCTCTGCCTTTGCTATCAAAGAGGTTAATTCCAGATGACTCACAAAACGTATATGCAATTGAGCAAGAGAGTTTGAATCTAAAAAGAAGAAGTATTATGCAAACACAGTCTCCTGTATCACCTGGGTGAAGCTTTTGTTAATACAATTAGCTACGGGACCCACACAAAGCTTAAACACTTGTAACAGCTGATTGTGGTGAGAGGAACATAATTTGCTTCTGGTTTGAAGTTTGGAGACATCTGGACTGAGATTAAAAGAATTTCCTAAGACCACAAATCGAGATTGGTTACTTTTGCTATGCATGTTGTCACAATATTCTCTAGGGACTATCCACTTTGTTCTGGTTTTACTGGAATTGGGGGTCATCCAATTTTTCCTCATGATGAATCAGTTTAGGTTTGGGAAATTTTGTTAAAAGACTTTCTTGTAATGAATATTTGGGGCAAAAAAATTGAGCTGAAACTTCTTTTTAATCTCTATTAAGATGAAAGAGTTAGTGTAGTTCTCCTTAGGCAACCTGCTTCCTACAAGGTAGGGAGAGTCAAGCACATTAAATGTGGGTCTGGAGTGTGATTATGTGAGGAACAGGGATTACTTAAACAGGCCAACATCTACTTAATTAGAATAATAGGTCTATTCCCTCGGTGTTGCCTAGTTGTAGATTACTATTGAACTGGTTAAGCAATTTTTAGTACTGCTTATGCCAGACTCAAAGCAGCTGTGGAAAATGTAAATGGCTTTCAATTCTGACTGCTGCTTACATAAGCAGACTGTCACGTACATTGGAGTTCATACCCTGGGTACTTTATTCCTAGAGGGGCAAGTCAAAGAAAGACTACATGCAGTTTTATTTTTAGAACTACAGCTGTGTGTGTGTGTGTGTGTGTGTGTGTGTGTGTGTGTGTGTATTCTACTCTGAATTCCAAAAGGAAGATACCACTTCAGAGAGTTATTTCAGTGAAATGAATGTCTAGTCCATTAATTTGCCATGAATACCAGGTAAAACTTACTCCTGTTAGCCTTCACTTCAGTACCCCTAAGTTAGGCAGTAATCATTTGTCTTACCTTTCATTCACTAGGGAATGTGTGGCTTAATTTTATTTTTCTCCCTAGCAATTGTTTGAAATTAAAAAGTGAAATGTAAAAAAATTATTACAAATGAACCAATAGAAACTAAGAAACATTTCCAAGCTGTGTTATTTTTAAGGTAAATGAGGGAAGGCTCTAAGAGCAAAGCACTTTCATGTATAAAATTAGGTCAAAGTTTTAAAAAATAGAAAGAGAAGATGTACCTTAAAAGAACAGATAAATTGTAGATATCAAATATATTTCTATTCTCATGCAGAGGTTACAGATGACTATCCTTTGGGATTGAGCCTAATATGTGCCTGTTTCTTGCTTTATTGGTTTTTAAACCTCACTTTCAAATTACAAAGTCAAAAGGAAAAATGTGAATATGTCAGGAGTTGTTGCCTAGCTAACGGAAATGTGAAAGGTGATTCTGCACCAGAGAAAACTGATTGGCAGTAATTGATGATGCAAATCCCATCATGGTGAATTTTTAAGACTGTAGAGCTGATGCAAACTTTGATTTGAAAATGAAAAACTTGAGGCTCAAAATGATAAATGGACTCATTTAGGATCAAGCATATTGTGCTTTACCTTAATTAAATACTGGTGGATTTAAAAAATTTCTAATACATTTTTTTTTTTGGAATCGTACAAGTCATTCATTTCTACATTCACATTTTATTCAACAAACACTTATTGAACATCTACTATGTACCAGACACTGTGGTAGGGGAGAAAAGATTTCTTTCCTCACCTATCACAAAGTTCATGGCTGATATTCCTATAACAAAAGAGAGATTAGCAGGAGAAGATAATATACACTTATTTAACAAAAGTTTTATGTGGCATGAAACTTCAGAAATGAAGACTCTAAAACTCAGAGAAAAGTGTATTGTTTTTGAATTGCCATGCAGAAATATGATGGGAGGACAAAAGGTATGATCTGATGGTAATAAACTGGAGGGAATTTAGCAAGGCCTGTTTGTTCAGCTTCTTCTTGGTCTCTCTGTGGGACATCCCTTTTCTCTGAGTATAGGGCAGAATACCTGTCATGAGAGAGCCTTCAGAGGAGGAGAAGGGGAGGGTAATTCACAGAAGTGATCTTCTTAGATTTTATGGCCTGATTCAGGGTAGAAGGAGAGAGGGGGAATTATAATTCTATGGCCTATTTCAGGGGAGAAAGGGGCAATAGAAATTTCAGTTTCTATGGTCCACTTTAGGAGAGAAGGGGCAAGAGAAGGTCAGAGATATCTTCCTGCTTCTGCTGTTTTCTTCATTTCCTTGACTTTAAGATACTCAGTGATGACAGAGCGAGACTCCGTCAAAAAAAAAAAAAAAAAAAAAGATACTCAGTGATAGGGTTAGGCTTTGTGTCCCCACCCAAATCTAATCTTGAATTGTAATCCCCAGGTGTTGAGGGAGGAATTTAGAGGGAGGGAATTGGGTCATGGGGGTGGTTTTCACTATGCTGTTCTCGTGATGCTGAGTGAGTTCTCACGAGATGTGATGGTTTCATAAGTGGTTAACAGTTCCTCCCACACATGCATTTCTCTCTCCTGCCACCATGTGAAGAAGGTACTTTCTGCCTGCTTCCCCTTCTGTTATGATTATAAGTTTCCTGAGGCCTCCCTCACAGCGGTTTGACTAAGAGTCCATTAAACCTCTTTCCTCTCTACAGATTGCCCAGTTCTGGGTATTTCTTTATAGCAGCGTGAACATGGTCTAATACATTCAGTATGCCAATGTGTCATATTTTAAGGTAGCATTTCATGTGCCCCTCATTGTTTTAGAGGCAAAAAAGAATTGCAAGGAGTCCTTCTCTCAATTATCTATCACCAATGACTGCTCATCCCAGAATCCTATTAAATTCCATTTTTTTAGCTTTAAAGATTAAATGAGTTAACTTATGTAAAATCCTTACATGATGTCAAACACATTGGAGATACATATAGATGATACTTCTCATTAGATAAATTGTTTATTAATAGTTACATAGAATTCTGATTTTGAAGTGAATTGAACATGGGTACAAACACATATGTAAATATGTATAACATGTAAATTCCTATTAAAATAAACTAATTTAATTTCTAGTTTGCTTAATTCATTCTCTTGCAAAAATGAAGATTGTTCACTT